ACTTGATGTGAAAATGTCTTTCTCATTTCCAGTCTGGAATATAAAGTACAAGTGAACATGTTACTAGAACATGCATGAAAATATTTAAACCATTTCTCCAGTTTTCTTTGACGTCAAGTCAGTCAGTATAAAACAGTATGTTCCATTAGTTACCTCTAAAGTGCCACATATATGATATACAAGCTTGGCTGCTTCCTCCTTAGCTTCCCTTCTTGTTTTCCCGGAAGCTGCCGGGTACTCCTTGTCACCAACAAAAAAGTTACACCATCTAACATTAAAAGAAAAATATTAAATATATTTCAAATAGATTATTCACATCTACAATCAAAACTAGATGCATCATGTAGACTTACTGATTTTCATTATTTGGTCCAGGTCTGGTAGCCTCCACGGGCTTTACAATCACCCTGTTCCTTTGACCATACTCATTAAGCCAGCCGATGTAGTTGATGTTACTGCCACTTCTCTGATGAACTGATGTATTAGAAACTTCTGCAGCATTTTCTGTCTGTTTGTAACCAACAAACACACAGCAGATTAAAACAAATGTCCACACATACAGTGAGTGAATACAATGGTGCAATGATCTTACAGTATCAGCTGATTCCTCCAAAAAGCCTGCCAATGCATTTTTAGCAGCGTTCTGCTTGGCTTCCTTCTTGCTCTTTCCAACAGCGTCAGGATAGGCTTTACCATTCAGAACAGCTCTGATAGTAAATCTGTTGAACAGACAAATACAGTAAACTTCTAGTGTACTTTCCCCACACAAAATATCGAATATGCCATTCTACAACTTGAGGCCAATTTAAGCTTTAAAAATTGGAACACTGTTACTGTATCTTTATATACACGTGGCAAAAAAATACTCAGGACCACAGAACTTGCTGCTCAAAAATATTTTGTCCGTTTTTAACATATGGTTGGGATGTTTTATTTGTACGGTAGGAGATAAACAAACAATTGTAACAAAACATTACAATTGCATGCAGAGTGACAAAGTTTATGTGTGGAAACAACACACTAGCAAAATACTGCAGGATCAACATACCTGTGGAAATTTAGTGAATGGACTAAAGCGACGTACAAAATACATTTACTGTGTACAAACGTGCATTTGGTAGCGAGTAAGCGAAAATACAGTGGAAGCTAAGTTTCAAAGAGTTGACATTTATGTTACAATAGCCTACTACGGTTTCATTGAAGAGTCTGTCCTACAAAAATACACTCTCGTACGACATCCCAGGTGGCAGATCCCATCTGTGTTCAACTTACGTTTTAATGTGGTCAGGGCCAGCAGCTCCAACCTCCACAAACTGGAGCGCCAGTCGCTGTTTCTGTGCATACTCGTTTAACTTAGCTATGTAGTTTTCCATCCTAAGTTTGTCGGGAGTCGGATTATTTACACAAAATTCATAAAAATATAGAACAAAGTACAAATCTCAAAATAAAACATGGTTTCCGTTTTTCCTTTCCATGTCAGTTTAGGTTTCGTTTTCTCCGAAAACGTCACATGGTGCTTTCAAGTAATGTCCGACATATCAACCACGTTTTGTTCAGTAAAGTCTCTATAAAAAAGAAATGGTGTGAAGCTGTACGCTGAAACTTGCAGAGTTGGGTGGAAGATATCCAAATAAAGTATAACAACAGAGAAAGTGTGAGTTATAGTACAGGAAAACTGAGTAGCAATGATGCTGTTTTGGGAGAATAGCTGTTTGCTTTATCAGTAGTTGTTTTAGATTGTTTTTTGTAGTTTAACTAATGTTAAAGCTCGGAATTTCAAACGTTTTAACCCGTTTGTGTTTTTTTTAATCTTACGTATGTTAGGATTGAATGACTACATGTCCCAAGATGTTTAAGAGCAGCTCCCATCGCTAAGTTTCATGGGAACTGTAGTTCTTTTGTCAAGCGCCAAACGTAGAGATGTGGCGATGTCATAGTGACGATAACATATAAACCAAAAATGCTTAAGTATTTAAGACATGGAAATTATTATTATTATCATCATTATTGCCCAATTTACGCATCAGAATTTTTTTAAGTAATAGTAATGAAAAGAAGTATGGCTGATATAAACTCACAACAAATCATACAATATACAAAAAGTCAAAATGGTAGCATTCTTAAAACGTTTAATGAAGACAGATAAATACAATTGATCTTGAAATATGTAACACAATTTGTATTCATCTTTATAAAATATAAATATTGAAAGACATCCTAATCTATAAATGGAAAAAAAAACAAACCAACCCAAAAAACAGAAATGTATACAACAAATACAAACTTGATGGTCTTTCAGTGAAAGACAGCAGATTAAAACTGGATGATTAAAGAACTTAATTTCTGATCACTTTATTGCCTTGGCTTTTTGTAGTCTGATGAACCTGACTCACATATCAAAGTGCATTCACATATACACAATATTTTTATGATCAAACATTTATACTTTTTTTTCTCTTTACAGGAAACTTGTGCAGACTGGTTTTCATTAATTTTATTCATGGTCTGCTGCTGTATCCCCAGGACAGTTAGCGCACAAGTCCTCTTCATCTGTAAAATAGAAATCAATACATTATATACACATACACAGTATGAGCAATGGCAATACAAAAGAACCTTAAAAGCTACAGCACTAAAGATATCACACCTACCATTATAGGTGGTCCCACACCATATGCAATAAAAATGGACTCCTCTCAAATAGGATGTCAAAATTTGTAGTTTATCAAAAGACTGCAACAGAGAAACACATATCACATTTAATATTCATTGGAAAAATTTTGCCATTAAATCCTATAAGATGCATTTATGTTTTTTCAGCTCAACCTGAGTTGTCCCTCTGATGTACTCATTTCTAATCCTGAGTATATGAGTATTAGATATGAAATTTAATTAAAAAATTTTATTTTCATTAATTCAACACATCATAGCAGGTCTTCCTACCATCTTTTCATTTACTCTTGCTGCTATCCTTCTGTTAGAAAACACACCTCAGCACTGATCTCCATCCACTGCACTCTATGCTCTCTTCTTCACCTCTGTTGTGCACTGTCTGGTGATTTTGATGGTTTAAACTCATCCATCTTCACTAAAGCTACTCCTTGCATTTTCACCCATTTCCCTCTCATTCACACACATGTATTCTGTCTTGCATCCACTGTCTTTCATTTCTCTTGAGAGACTGGAGAGGTGAATATCTCTCCAAGCTTTTCTACCTGCTCTCTACTACAAATTTCAATGTCATCTGCAAACATTGTAGCCCACAGAGACTCTTGTCTGACATCATCTGCCAGTCACATTGCAAACAATCAGAGCCAATCCCTAATGTAATCCCACCCCCATCTTGAACAAATCTGTCACTCCCACTGTACACCTCAACATCATCTTGCTGTCCTAATACATGTCCTACACATACTTCTCTGCACTTCCTTAGACAGTACCACAATTGCTGTTTTGGTAAAAAAAAAAAAAAAAAAAAACCCCGATGAATAACATACATTAATTTTGATTGTCTAAAATAAAATACTTACAGTGAGTTCTGTAACCTCCTCTTCATCCTCATCCTCCTCTTTAAGATCGTCCTCTTCTTCATCAGAGTTTGCTTTAGGCCAGTACCAGTCTTCTCTCGGAACACTTATCCCCTGAAAAGAGAAGAAACCTCAGCTAGGAGATACTTTGTGTCAGCGGTCTATAATTTTCCTCCTTTCACTGGTAAGAGACTGATTAGAGAGAGACCTGCTACTAACACTAGCACTGTGATGTGCAGAGGAATCCATAAGGAGCTATACTCATAATTCTTCCCACCTTTTGACTGTCAAGCTGTTCACAAGCTCGCTGACTCCTCTTGAGGTCTCCTTCAATCTTTCGCTCCTCTCTTTCCGTCCTTACTCTTGACCTGAAAACGCAAAAAAAGGAAAAGGTTACAAACACAGACTATAAGACACTGTTATCATCGAAGAGGACAACGTTTAGAGGCAGCTGCATGCTTCACCTGAAATCTTCCAGAGATTTGGTCTCATTCTGTTGTTTGGCTCGTACTTTCTGCCTATAATGCTCCAGTTCCTCTTCAGCTTTTCTTTTCTTCATCTCTTCCATTCCAATACCCCCTCTGTCTGATTATAAACAGAAAAGTGCTGCAATCATTCAGCTAGGCTGCACACAACATCACTAAATACTCATTTTAAAATAAAATTTCCTACCTGTTTTGATATTTAGTGGAATTGGATCAACTCTTCCTGCTCCTATAGGGGTAACAAAGATTAACATCAGTGCACACTACAAATGCAAAGCAAATTCACAATTTAGCGAAGAACAAACTTGCCCTGCTTCCCAAGTCCTTGCCCAGCTTTGTAGCCCATTTTCTGCAGAAGTGCAAACCCTTTGTTTTCATTGCTGATGGAGCTCTGTAAAGCCGCTTCTCGGCTTTCGCTCTCCTGCTCCTTGTAGCTCTTCTGACGGTTCTTAATATTGGTTTCCTTTTGCTTCTCCTCCCTCTTCATTGCTTCTTTTACCCGCCTCACCATGCTGACACCCGGTTTCACATCTTGACTGACAGTCGGAGGGACAAAGAAAAACGTTATAAGGGTGTAAAAAAATACCGATAACTATTCTGAGAGCAATGACACCCTGCTTCTTTGTTTTGATAGCTCAATATCGGAATATACTCGATTCAACAACAGTTTCATAGCACTGACCGAACATTGTTGTCAATATGAACATTTTACAGTAAACACCAGAGCCAGAACACTTACAGTTTGCTAAGAAATGCATCAGACATATAGTCCTCTTCTTCATCTGACATTCTGTACAAACTAAAGAGAGAAAAAACAGAGAAAAACAGCTAAAAAATAAAAATCTTTGGTTTGTGCGTTTGTATTTTCTTCTGTGGTGTTCTGTTCCTTTGCAAAAACGTTCCGAGTAGCTGCAAGGTACACACAAAGTCTACAGTTCCGCTGCATTTGGCATATATTTCAAAAGAACGTGTTTGTCCTGTGAAATGGACTCAACTAATGTCACGTCTATTTTTTGTTTATTTCACAAAATTCTACAAGCTATATGATTTAAGTTAAATTATTTGTTTGGTTTAACATCGGACAAACTTCACAGCGACACCGCCCATAGTCGTCGTCATTCATCCTGGGTCACCGAAGCACAGGTAGGATGAACAGTTTTGCTGTATTTGTCCCGTATTTCAGGGAGTTTGTTGTCACTGAGGGGTATATTTTGAACAACTCAAGGTTGTAAAAAAATGACGACGAAGAGCCAAAGTCCTATTTAGTCGTCAGTGTTTCGCGGAGTTTAGCTTTCCCCTTTTAGGAAGCAGCTAGCTTATGTTGCTAACTAGCTCGCGTATTAACAGCTGAAGGATGACAGCTGTCAACACATCACTGCAGTGTTAATATTTTTTGTGTTATTCCATACGAGACTTGAGCGCGGCTATTATAACTTTACAGCCACTGACATTAAAATTACTGACGTACGGAACACAGCGAAGGCATTCCAATGGCGATAATTGGTCCTTAGCATCTATAGGGCTGTTATAACCTGTAAATGCTGATGGATGGGATAGTTTATTGACTGAACAGGCGTATTGTTAGAGAAGAGGAATTTAAATTAGACAACTGAGAGGCCCTGTCATGCTGTTGGGTACAGAGTTTGTCTCCTGAGCAGGAATGTCCAACCTTCAGATCAATACAGATGTTCCCAGTATTTCTCTTCATCCTATAATACAGTATTCCTTTCCTGCTAGGAATGATCTCTTCCATGGTGGCAATGAGGTGCAAGAGCTGATAGAACTTTTAGATGAGCATGAAAATGATTTTGATCATGTTATGTGGTGACTGAGTGGCCTTCACAGTCACCACTTCTCAAGTTTATTGGAGCCATTTCAACAACACAGCTGCATATACAACAAGACACATCAAATGACACAATACAGCACAACATACAAAGTACACGTGTATTGAACACATCAACCCATAAAAGTAGTGCAGTGTGTCAGTGTACCTATGTTTAAAGGGATTTTAGTGAATGACGTAGAGTCTAGATTGCAGAAGGGAACAGTCCACAATGCAAGAGGTTAAGTTAATATTGCAAATGCATGATACATACGTGTAAGTTTTGCTGCATAATATATTCAGATTCTGGGTGGCACGGTGGTTAGCACTGTTGCCGCACAGCAAGAAGGTCCTGAGTTCAATGTGTGGAGTTTGCATGTACTCCCCTGTTTGTGTGGGTTATCTCTGGGTATTCCAGCTTCCTCCCACCGTCCAAAGACATGCAGTTTCTGGGGAAAGGTTAATTGATTAATCTAAATTGCCCATAGATGTGAATACAGGAGTGAATGTGAATGTGAGTGCGAATGGTTGCCTGTCTCTCTGTGTGACAGACTGGCGAGCTGTCAAGGTGTACCCAGCCTCTTGCCCTATGACAGCTGGGATAGGCTCCAGCGCCCCCCGCGACCCTGAAAAGGATAAGCGGAGGCGAATGGATGGATACATTCAAATTCTATGATCACAACTTGCTGTAGGTAAATTGAAACAAAAAAATAATAGAAGGTTCAGCGTATATTTAAGCACCTAATAGCTTGGAGATAGCTACTATCTCTGTTCTTGTAGTAATACCACTGTATCTTTTGCCTGGTGGGAGATGATTAAACAGATGATGTGTAGGAGGGGACAGTGATGATGCTTCTACCTCTCCTGGTGGTTCGGGTGGCATAGTGTGGAGCTATGAAAGGCAGACTACAACCAGTGATGTTGGAGGCTCAAACTTTTTCCAGGCTACTGTTTGTCCTGATTGGTTGTGCTACCTTACCAAGTCAGGTTGGAGATAATAATAATAATAATGATAATGGTTTGTAGCTTCCCAACTGAACCCATATTTTCCATACATCTCTACTTCTGCCAAAGGAAGTAGAGTCTCTGATGGGCTTTGTTAACAGTGAGACTGGTGTTTAAGTTCTGTGATAAAGACTGGCATATAGTGGTGCCCAGGAAGCACTCTTTCAACAGACCTTGGCCAATGAAAGGAAGATGTTGGACTTCTTCCCTTCTAAAGTCAACAGCCTTTAGTTTTAGATTTGCTCAGGATCAAATTGTTGTCTTTGCACCCCTTCACCAGCTGTTCTGTCTCACTCCGGTATGCAAATTCATCACTGTTAGAGATAACGTCTACCACACTGATACCATCACTCAGTCCAGCTGAAAACCCATTGAAGATTTTGTGCTAGTAATGCTCCCTACCGCTATCATCAAAATGCCAAATAAGATTATTTCTAAAAGAAGTGGTGCTCCAGTCTTTCACTTTAGTCAAAAGGACTTGCAGATTCAGTGTCAAGTCACACTGAAGCTGTTTGAGCAAAATATGGTCTACCAACTCCTTGTGTTGCAACAGTATATTAAGCTTTTTTTCCTCTAATTTGTCACGTGTTCGTGAATCATTGCAGAGAGGAGGGCGCACGTCTCTGTGTTCAAGGTTCCTCGCAATGGAGCTGGCTCACAGTCTCCTGCTCAATGAAGATGCTTTGGCCCAGATCACTGAAGCAAAAAGGCCCGTCTTCATCTTCGAATGGCTCCGGTTTTTGGATAAAGTGCTTGTGGCAGCAAATAAGGTGACTATGCAGATTTTTAGCTTTTCTGAGTCAGAATCATTGGAAGCGTTTTGTAACTCGATTGTGCTTTTTTTCCCTTCTTTTTTGAATGCAGGTTGATGTAAAAGAGAAGCAGAAGAAGCTGGTGGAACAGCTGACGGGACTAATCAGCAGCGCTCCGGGACCACCGACTAGAAAACTCCTGGCCAAAAACCTTGCTACGCTCTACAGCATTGGTGACACCTTCACTGTTTTCCAGACTCTTGATAAATGCAATGACATCATCAAAAGCAAGGATGACACACCTGCATACTTGCCAACAAAACTGTGAGTTCCCATTTATTTACTACCGCATGTATTTTTATTGGCTATTTTTAGAAATACAGGAACTGCATATTAATAGTCTGCTTGAGCTTTCACATATTTCAATTCAAATGTAAGCTGTTCAGAACTGCTTTTAGAGCCCCGGGCACGTGCAGTAGGCCTATCTTCAAGGGTATTAGCAGTTAAGCTGGACGGTAATCTGCAGAACGACATTTTATGTTTAAAAGGAGGGATTAAGTGTACAAGACTAGATTTGCTGTGTTTCTTGCTGGCGTTAATGGAATTTAACAGTGGATGAAGCTGCATCAGTGGTGCCCTGCAGGGTTTTATCCATCAGTCATTCATACCTGCTCATTTCTGATTAGGTGAAATACACGACGTGCCAGGGCCTCCCTTTTGCATACTAAGCCACTGTACTTCCCCTTCAGCATTTTACAGTAGATGAGGTTAAAGCTAATTCATGTATGTAAGCCAGTCTCACCATTTATCAACATAAGGAGGAGTCTAATAAGTTTAAGTTTATAACTATTAATTTTCATGAAGTATTCCATGTATTTGCATATTTTAATTTACATAATTAAGAATTTTCACATAGATTTTTGTCTGAATTGCTGTGTTAATGCACTGTTACACATTTCTTGCAGTGCTGCAGTGGCATGTGTTGGGGCTTTTTATGAGAAGATGGGGAGGATGCTGGGAAGCTCCTTTCCAGATACCATCAATAATCTTTTAAAGGCATTAAAGAGTGCAGAGGTATGCCACATGAGAGTAAAGAAACTAGGAGCAGGCACACTACAATATAAGAACAGTAATGGAGGGATTGATTTGTAACGTCACTTTCTTCTATTTTATTGATGTAGTCACAAGGTAGAGGAGAGATCCTTCTGAGTCTGCAGAAGGTGCTCAGTGGACTGGGTGGAGCTGCAGCTTCTTGTCACAGAGACATCTACAAGAATGCTCGCTCTCTGCTTACAGACAGGTCCATGGCTGTACGCTGTGCAGTAGCAAAGGTTGGTCTCACAAAAACACACAGTTAAGATTTTTAAATGTGTCAACTAACTTGCGCTTCTTTGTGGGGATTTTGTGGGCTGCTGGGGTCTTCCAAAACATAAAGTTAAAAGCTACGTAGAAGACACACTGAGTAATCTTCAAACTCTTTCTCCCAAAACAGTTAAACTTGGTTTTTGAGCTTAAGTTGTTAAGGCCCATCTGAGGAGCCATCAGCGTTATGCAAAGCTTCATTCTCAGTTTCACTCATAAAAGTAAAGGTACCGCATGATTACTTGTGATCACTGTTTTCAGTACGATCTAATTTTCCCTTTATGACACAAGTACAGCAATTGTGTGTCAGAATGAGTGCAGACTGTTTTTAAAGGGAAGAAACCACTGACTTAAATGCTTTTGCTGTGTCACATATGTCAACCGCATACGCTGTTTCAATTTCCGTTTAGAAAGCGTACAAGTTACTGTGTGTATTGTAACATTACGTGCACATAAGCCTCTGAATTCATGTCATGAAGTAAATATTATCAGTACACACATTATATGAAAAGTAATGATAACGTCCCATTTTTTTCCTCCTTGCCTGATCAGTGCCTGTTGGAGCTACAAAATGAGGCTGTATTCATGTGGACCACTGAACTGGAGAACGTCGCTACTTTGTGTTTCAAGGCCTTGGAAGGGTCTAACTATGGCGTTCGGGTAGCCGTAGCGAAACTGCTGGGGACAGTTATGGCCACGGCCCTGATGCCTAAACAAGCAGCTGGTAGGTTACAGAGTGGATTTGTGTTGTTTTTAGAGTAGCTCACTGCTTCTGTTCTTTATCGCGTTCTTTTTTTAAACGCGTTCTTCTCGCAGTGATGCGTCAGAATGTAAAGCGAGCCACTCTGGAGGAGGTGCTGGAGCTCATGGCCACAGGCTTTCTGCGCGGTGGATCTGGCTTCCTGAAGAGCGGAGGAGAGATGTTGAAGGGGGGAGGCTCTGTCAGCAGGGAGGTGCGGGTGGGCGTCACACAGGTGAGGTGAACTCTCAAACATATTAAAAATATGAACCCGATCCATCTGACTCATTCACCTCATGCGTGTTTTTCGTTAATTTCTTCTTAGGCATACGTTGTGTTTGTGACAACACTTGGCGGTCAGTGGCTTGAGCGCAACTTTGCCACGTTCCTGTCGCACGTGTTGGACCTAGTGTCTCACCCTCGGGCCACGCAGACTCACGTTGAGGCTGTGTACTCGCGCCGCTGCGTCTCCTTCATGCTGCGCGCCACCTTGGGGGGCTTGCTTGGAGAGAAAGCACAAATCGCAGCCGGCAAAGAAATCTGCCAAGCCATCAGCAAGCAAATGAGGGCTGTGGGTAAGGAGGATGGGGGGGAAATATCACGGTTCAGAGCATTACAGAGTAAGTACTCATCCATTATTATCACCTTTTAATTCGCTCTTCATTCAGTTTTGAAATTGTTGCATGGCTTGTGCTTATGTTGTGTGCAGAGACGGCTTCTCTTTTTCTTTTATTTCTCTGCTTTTCCTTCTGCTTTCTGCCTTTAAGGTTACTTTCCTCTTTCTTCATATCCCCTTTTCACTACAAGTAGCATCATAATGTCAGTAAGATCATCCATTACCTGCGCAGCATATTAAGTACTCATGCTTGCATTATTGCATAGCCTTTATGGCTTTTTTGCCTGTGAATTCTCATTTTGTTATTGCCTTATAAACCCTAAAGAGCAGTTAACGTAACCTTTCCTGGCATCTAGCATCTGGCATGCACCAGCAGAAAAACTGCACGTGCCACTAAATGCAAAGACACACGACAGGATGATGCCATTACATCTAAGAGAACAAGACACAGTGTTTTGCATTATTTTATTTATTTTTTCGCTTTTTATCATCACAAAATTATTTTCAAAATCACCCATACCTCGTTCACAAAGGATGTTTCTTACTCTGATTTGCTTTGCAACCTTTAAACCGATGTACGATTCAGAACTTCTTGGTGTTAAGACAGAATTTCTAAAAATGTTGGATTCTCCTGGGTTCTTTGTTGTTCACTCTGTACTTGCTGCTGTATTTTTTTCCATCTAGCTGGATATGTGAGACTTCTTGAAATGGGACTTTGAGAAATGTCTAAGCTAAACATAAGTGGGAAAATGTTACCGGGAGCCATGATAGAAGTAGGACATCTAGTATATGTGTTTACATTTACACTAAAGTCTGAATGAAATGCCACAGTTCAAGAAGCATCTTCATATACTCTCTTCCTCAAGTCGTTTTATTGACCTTTTCTACATATGATCTGTCTCGACTGTTGTCTTTCAAGAGCTCAGAGGATTTTAGTTCCCGGTAAATGATCAGCTATTCATTTTTTTTCTTTTTTCACAATTATAGTCATCATTTCCTGTTTTTATTTCTTTTTGAATGGGGGAAGACAAATCCTCAGAGCTCTTGGCGTACATTGAAGTGTGCTCTTCTGTGTTTTAATGTAGCGGTTCTGTAGTTTAATGTCGTTAGTTAAATATATGACAACAGTGCATGGCCTAATGGGGTCTGTTGTGTTATTAGAAGCTACGGTACGCACCTGTCAGTCACAACATTAAAATCACTGTAGGTGACAACAATAAAAATCATTATTTTGCCTTAATGTTACTTGTCAAGTTGTAGCAGGAAGTCAAGTTGTTGGAAGCTGTAAAGATGTGACTTTTCTGATGACTAAGCAACTGGATCAGATTATCTATAAAATATCAGGTTTTGGGGATTGTTTCTGGTAGTTAGTTGCTATTAAAAGTGGTATAAGTAATGAACTGGTAATAGGGTCACAGGGGCACTATACTCCACACTTTGCATGTGGTCCTGTCTGTTCTTGAAAGCACCTACAGCAGAAAGAAATCCCATTTTCTTTTACATCTTGTGTGATGTTTACCAGAGAGAGAGGGGATCAGCATGATACACAGTAGAGGGATTTAAGCAATTTGATTCTCTGATTTTCTGCAGGAAAATAGCTTTAATCTGATTCTAACTAGCCGCAGACAATTTACACCTCTTTATGGAAACACTATTCCCCGATGATGCTGGCTTTTTCTTCTGCAGCATAGTGCACCCGCCACCGCATATTGTTCAGTAATGGTCTGAGAAACATTACAAAGAGTTCAAGATCGGAAAAACAAATGAGATGTAAGGGGGCCCCACCTTGCAACTTCCTACACAATACTGGGTTTTAATGTTGTGGCTGATTAGTGTAAATTTTACTAATAACATTAGTGATTTATACTTATTATGGACACAAAGCATCTTGTCTTTGATATAAATCTTTTTCATCAATGATGCACACATTATAAATTAGTGTGTTCTAAATATTATTGTGTATTCAAAATACGAACTTAAGTGATAACCCAGAAAATGTTCATGCTGACAGATCGCTTTGCTCGCTTCTCTTCCTGAAATTTGTGTTTTCAGAGGCAGTAGTGAATGATATCAGTGGGGAGAACAAGGCAGGGGCAGGGGATGTCTCTGCCAGCCAGCATGTTATGGTGTGTGCTTTAAAAGAGCTGGGCAGTTTGGTTCAGAGTTTGAGTGCCACAGCTTCACCACTCATCCAGGAGCCTTCTGTAGGTAAGATAAACAGAATACAAAACAGGATATTCACTGTTGTCACTCTCGGGTTTCTGGTAACACAAGCTCGTGTGACATAAATCCTAATTTAAAATAAGGCTGAACTCCTTAAATAACTTATTCCACATCCACTTCTTCAGGACTTCTTGAAACCGTGACCTCAGTGCTGCTGCACCCAAGCATGGCAGCACGTTTGGCAGCTGCATGGTGCTTGCGTTGCGTCGCCGTTGCGCTACCCTATCAGCTCACCCCTCTGCTGGACCGCTGTGCTGAGAGAATCAACAACCTGAAGAGTTCGCCTGAGGCTGTAAGCGGCTACAGCTTTGCGATGGCTGCTCTGCTGGGAGGCGTGCACCAGTGTCCACTGGGTATCCCCCACACCAAGGGCAAGGTGTGTAGCCTCAGAATTTGGCCTTAGTGGTTCTTTCAAATGTATGTCAGACTTGATTGACTAGCCTCGCTGTTCTTGTAGTTGGTGGTGAGTATAGCTGAAGACCTTCTGCGAACAGCTGCTCAGAACAGCCGTCTGTCCCTGCAGCGCACGCAGGCTGGATGGCTTCTGCTGGGGGCCCTGATGACTTTGGGTGAGCCTCAAAGACACTTCCTGATTTTGGAGTTTTTCAGAAATCGTCTTTTTCTCCCACCACCTTTGTGACCACATTGTGTTCATTTGTGTTCCCAGGTCCCTCCCTTGTGCGCTATCATCTCCCCAAAATGCTGCTGCTGTGGAGGAACGTGTTTCCTCGCTCCCAGAAGGAGCTGGAAGCCGAAAAAGCCAGAGGAGACTCCTTCACCTGGCAGGTCACCCTGGAGGGCAGAGCTGGAGCACTGTGTGGTAAAGACTTGCACCTCCACAGTGTGCACGCCCTAAAATGTTACGAAACGCAGTGTTGACTAAAACTGTTCCTTTTCTTTTATAGCCATGCGTAGTTTCGTGGCCCACTGCCCCGAGCTTCTCACAGAAGACGTAATCCGCAGGCTGATGACTCCTATCGAATGTGCCATGACTATGATGTCTCAGTGAGTGTGGTGCTTTTTTTTTTTGTGTAATTTTCTCTTAAATGTGTGACTTTTTCTTTTATTTTTTTGTGTGTTTTTCGACTGCATGTCTAATGATTGTAACATTTTGACTTTTCTCAGTGTCCCTGCCATCATTAAGGTACACGGAGCCCACCTGAAAGCAAGTGCAGCTATGGTGAGGCTCCGGTTGTACGACATCTTGGCTCTCTTGCCTCCGAAAACTTACGAAGGTAAATCAGTCACTTGTGCATTAGCTTTCACATAAGTTGAGGAGAGGTGTTTTAAAATGGGTAATCCTCTCGTACAGGCAGCTTCAATGCTCTCCTGAGAGAACTGGTGGCAGAGTTTACTTTAACCGACAACTCGGCCAACACTACCACGTCTTTGCTGCGCTCTCTGTGTCATTATGACGACAGCGTGCTCATGGGCTCGTGGCTACAGGAGACTGACCACAAGTCCATAGAGGATCAGGTTAGTTGGTAAAAGACCGTTCTAGTAACCCATCTCTTATTTGAAGATGCTTTATGTATGTGATTTGGATTAGTCATCACTATCTCTTGTTAAATATTAAATATAAGTTTGGCCTTTTGGTGTTTCTGTGTCGTTGCTGCGAAACAGTTGCAGCCCAACAGCGCGTCTGGCAGCGGAGCTCTGGAGCACGATCCCTCCTCGATCTACCTGCGTGTCCCCGTAGGCGAGGCCATCCCAGGACCTCTGCCTTTGGGTGTGTCGGTTATCGATGCTTCGGTGGCTCTGTTTGGTGTGGTGTTCCCTCATGTCTCCTTCAAACACAGGCAAGGCGCTCTCTCTTATTGTGGTGATTTGATGTGGTTCTGCATCATGTTAACATTATTTTTATTTTCTTGTCCTGCAGCTGCTCTCTTTATTTTCCTTATATATTTATATTCGCTGCATTATTGCTGAGCTGTTTTTTATTAATATACTGTGTTTTAACTGATGGGTATGATTCAGGCTGCAGATGTTAGACCACTTTGCAGAATGCATAAAGCAGGCTAAAGGAGTTCGACAGCAAGCCGTCCAACTCAACATCTTTACTGCAGTCCTTTCTGCCCTCAAGGTAAGAAAAAAGCTCTATATCCTCTTAAATGGGAAGGTAATTTAGGTAATAGCTACAGTGAGAAATAATGTTTCTCTTTCGCTTTAACTGTAGGGTTTGGCTGAGAATAAGAGCACTCTTGGGCCTGAGGAGGTGCGTAAATCAGCTCTGGCCCTCGTGATGGGAGCTTTGGACAACCCTAATCCCATCCTGCGCTGTGCTGCTGGAGAGGCCCTGGGGAGGATGGCTCAGGTGGTCGGAGAGGCAACCTTCATTGCCAGAATGGCGCAGACCAGTTTTGATAAGTGAGCATATCATGTCTCCAATTTCTGTTTCTTTTCTTTTTGTGTCCAACATTGTGGTTTCAAATCATCTTTGTTGTTAACACAGAATATTCAGGAAGGCCTTAAGAAAATTTCTTCATATTTACACCAGTGTTCTCTTTCATTGACTGATTGATTTGTTTGATTCATGAGGATGAATTTGATGATTTGGAGGTCAAAGGTCAAGCCCAAAGAGCTTACTTTTGGCCATAACTCAAGAATTCATACACCAATAAAAACGATACAAGTGTCTAACAGGATAAAAATGATGAATTGATAACATTTTCTGTTTAAAATGGTCTGTGGTTAACATTACCATGACAACCTAGTGATCTGTAGAAACACTTTGGACAGAAGGAGAGATTTGAGCGCTAGATTTAGCCTTCTGAGGTGCCAGGTTTGAAAACTGTAGATTTTTGCAATAACATAAATATTTAAAACATTGTCTACAGTGCACAATGTTGTGATCAGAATAACCTGTATTTACCTTACATTAATAAATGTATTTAAGAATACAGTGATTTTAGGTGTAAAAAATATTAGTCTGTCATTTCATATCTTGAATGAGCCTGGACAGACAAGGATGTAAACTGCACCCTGACGTTTAGTGGGACGGACAGAGAGTCATTTTATACCTGATTGCACAAAATAAACATTCTCACTACATTTTCAGAATGTCTCTTTTTGGAAAGTTATAGTTTGTGTTTCATTGTTGTTCATCTGTCTTGAAGTTGATCTCTCATACTTTGTATCTGTCTCTACTCATGTGATGCATGTCTTTGTTTTGCTCTGTTTACAGGCTGAAGTCAGCTCGTGATGTAGTTTCAAGGACGGGCCATTCACTGGCTCTCGGCTGTCTGCATCGATATGTTGGAGGAATTGGCTCTGGCCAGCACTTAAAGACCAGTGTCAGCATCTTGTTGGCTCTAGCCCAGGATGGCTCTTCACATGAAGTCCAGGTGCAGTCAATTATTTATTAGAAGTACATTTTTATATTCACTCATAATTAAATTACATTTTGATTGTTTTTCTTTTCTGTTAAATGTTATGTCAAAACCTAGTTTTGATGCACCCCTATCTTTTTCTAAAATTCTGGTCTGGCCCACTCTAAATGAATTCAATCTGTGTTTTTGTCTTCACCAGACTTGGGCTCTGCACTCTCTGGCTCTAATTGTGGATTCAAGTGGTCCCATGTACAGAGGCTATGTGGAGCCTACACTGTCTCTGGTGCTCACCCTGCTCCTCACTGTGCCCCCGTCTCACACAGAGGTTCACCAGTGTCTGGGCCGCTGCCTGGGAGCTCTAATCACTACTGTGGGACCAGAGTTGCAGGGTAACTGTGGCACAACCACATTACAAACATCATTAACCATAGTATTTTTTTAGCCAGCAGATGGCAGTGTAACCGGTTTTGATCCTTTGCAAGCTACTGAAGTATATGTCTTTAACTACAATGTTTCTTTGTGCTGGTCTTGCTAGGAAATGGAGCCACTATTTCCACCATCCGCTCGTCCTGCCTGGTTGGTTGTGCCATAATGCAGGACCACTCAGACTCTCTTGTGCAGGCAGCTGCTATCTCATGTTTGCAGCAGCTGCATATGTTTGCTCCACGACACGTTAACCTGTCCAGCTTGGTGCCGTGTCTCTGCGTAAGACATAAATACTTTTAGAGTACGTATGTGACAGTTAGAGTTTTGGTGTCAGTCTGAATGTTGATTTCCTGCTGTGAACTGGGGTTCCCATAGGTGCACCTGTGCAGCTCTCACCTGTTGCTGCGTCGTGCTGCAGTGGCCTGCCTGAGACAGCTTGCTCAGAGAGAAGCTGCAGAGGTCTGTGAGTACGCCATGAGCCTGGCAAAGAGAGCAGGAGACAGCAAAGACAGCACTGCAATCAGTCAGTACACGTTCAAAACCTGATTCGAGCATTCTGTTTGAATAATTCCCCTTAATGCAACCTGGATCCTAATGCCTTAACTTGATCTGGTTCAGATCTAAACATCACAGAGACGGGTCTGGAGGGCGTTCTGTTTGGCATGCTGGATCGGGAGACAGACAGGAAGCTGTGCTCAGACATCCATGACACACTCGGCCACATGCTGTCGTCTTTGGCCGTAGAAAAACTTTCCCATTGGCTGAAACTCTGCAAGGATGTTCTTGCAGCAACTACAGGTAAGTCTACAAAACAGCAAATTCAAAAATCATCTTTTATAAATCTTTCACCACATATGTGCCTGTGTCCTCTTTCAGATGTAGGGGGCGCTGTTGTGTTTGAGGTGGAAAAGGACGAGGAAGACTCGGAGAAAAAAGACGAGATGGACGATGACACAATGTTCACGGGTCTAGGCGAAGACGACAAATCGAAGCCATCTGTGGCGCCGCGCTGGGTCACACGGGTGTTTGCGGCAGACTGTTTGTGCCGCATCATCCTGCTGTGTGAGAATGCAGACAAAACACACTTTGACCTGGCAGCTGCTCGTTCGGCGCAGGCCAAGAATGTGAAAGGTACCATTCACTGTGCTGCCAGAATAGACTACTGCAGAGTTCACTTAAAGAATTGTGATTGATTAATGCCACTTTTACTGTGCTACGGGAAATGGCTTATTCACATGCTTTCATTTAAAGATGGAACAAAGCTAGAGGTTCAGAGGGTTTTGTTCACTGTGGCAAATATGGGAGACAATATTTATGTAAGCTTTTCTGTATAATAAGGAGCTATTCTACAGGCTTGCCCGTAATAGCACATTGTACTGACTTTGCAGCTCTGAAACCAGCTAAGCCAAATTTAGTGACTGGGATTCAGTGGATGGTTGGTCTGCATGACGGCATGTCCAACTAATCCCTCAAAAGGTGCCCTTCAGTTAAAAGTCAATTAAATCTCAGCCCCAAATTTAATGTGGGGTTTCTTTCTGGTCGCTGCAGGCACACGCTGAAACTCCAAAAGTGTGTCCTCTTGAAGAAAGTATTAAAGCAGAGAGTCTGAAGAAAGCACTGGTTATAGCTTCTTGCTGAAGTGTAACCCATCATCAAAGGATTAATAAATCAAATACTAAACAATGACTGGAAAAATCATTATTGTAGCTGCTCCCGGAGTTCATATTCCTTCCAGTGTTTATAATTAGGTTCGTATTTCTCACATAGTCCTTGTTGTTTTTTCATCCATCTCTGTCCGTTCAGGAGATCTGCTGGTGCTCCATTTATCTGACCTCATCCGCATGGCTTTCATGGCAGCCACAGACCACAGCAACCAGCTGAGGATGGCTGGCCTGCAGGCTTTGGAAGACATCATTAAAAAGTTTGCATCCGTACCAGAGCCCGAGTTCCCGGGGCACGTTATCCTGGAACAGTACCAGGCCAATGTGAGTAAAGCATTGCATTATTTCGTAGTCCAAACCTAGAAACAGCATGAAAGTAAACTTGTTGCAACTCGTGGGTATTTAGGTTGGAGCTGCTCTCAGACCTGCGTTTTCACCTGACACGCCGTCCGACATTACAGCAAAGGCATGCCAGGTAAGACATACCTGTCTCTTTCACCAACTCAATTGCTTACAATTCCACTTTATGCCTCTTTTTGAGGTGTGTTCAACCTTCTTTCCATTAACAGCCATTAAATATGTTTTTTGATTGTTAGATGGTAGAACTGTGGCTGCGTTAGCAGCTTAATTACCACGACAAAGTGAGTCATCATCCCCTTAGAAGCCAGCAGTGTCAAATTTGTGACTTAATGCTTTTTGACTTAATTGAATGATGAGAATGTTGAGTGACGGGGGCAAATAACAAAACATGCCTGTCAGCTTATTACTAAAAGATGTTCTCTCTTTGACATTCCCCTGTTTCTCTGCTTGGGAGACTTTTTGAAGGGTTTAATTTTTCTTATCGAGAACAACTTACTCTGAAAAAGCAGATTAGGATACATATATCTGTGGATGTGAAGGTCACAGAGGACCTGTAGTTTGCTTATAGTTTAATAAGCTACCAGATTTATATCACACTGCTGCCCTTGAACTGACACTTTAATTGCTGTTCCTCCCAGAAGAATGCAATCTTATAAACATGTGGTCCAGTTTTACATCACTAAGGTGTCAGTCCATTTATTAATACCCATTTGTTTAACACTCCCACCCCCTCTAATAGCTTGGCTAATGAGCCTAAGTGCTCTGTTATATAAGACATTTTTTACATCAAAATCAGAATCAGAAAACTTTATTGTCCATTGTTGTAATAGATAAAAACTGTAAGATTCATAGCAGTTTTACCTTTCTCACATTGACTACAGGTGTGCAGTACGTGGATCGGCAGTGGCGTTGTCAGTGACCTCAATGACCTGCGGCGAGTCCACAACCTGCTTGTGTCATCGCTGGACAAGGTGCAGGCTGGGAAAGGCTCGTCCAGTCAGCTGTATAGTGAGAGCGCTACCACGATGGAGAAACTGGCAGTGCTGAAGGCGTGGGCTGAGGTGAGATGGAAGATGAGCAGGAAACTGCTCCTTTTTTTTACAATCAAATGATGCATGTAACGAAACTGAACGTGCACTCTGGGTTTCTCACTCAGGTCTATGTGGTAGCAATGAAGATCAAAAAAGAGGCTGAGTCTAAACCTGCAAAACCAGTCAGAAGTGGAGATGACGACGAGGATGAGGAGGATCTGGGAACAGACGTGCTTCCCCCTGACAGTCTTATCACCCTGGTGCAGCCAGAGCTGCCCTCACTAAGCCGCCTGTGGCTGGCCATGCTGCGAGACTATGCTCTGCTCACTCTGCCTGCTGAGTTCTCCAGTCAGCTGCCCCCTGATGGTATGAGACTCTTTCCTGTCTTCCTGTGGGCTAAATATGGTTTTAATATGATATCTTCAGTGAAACAAAATATAGTCTTGTGGTGTTTCTACACAACATTTTAATGTAGCTTGGTTAAAGCATCAATTTTCAAGTCTTATGTTCCACTTTGGATCCTTTGACGTTTATTTATTCCAGATATTACCAAAAATGTTCCACATTATTTGGACAATGTCAGATTAAATGTCAACAAAAACACCTCTTAAATCAAATGGAATTGTGGGATATATATATATATATATAATTGTGTTTGTGTCCAGGTGGAGCATTTTATACCCCGGAGACTATAGATACAGCAAGGCTCCACTACCGAAGCTCCTGGGCTCCTGTCCTGCATGCCGTAGCCCTGTGGCTGAACAGCACTGGGTTTGGAGCAGGTGTAGGTCAGGAGGAGGTCTCATCAGCTCCCTCCAAGCCTCCTGGCCTCCCCCAGGGAGGCTCCACCACTATAAAGACCTTTGAGGAGTCTGTCAAAGACAGAATGCATCTAATGTTAGGTAAACAAATGCATAGCTAACATTTTCGGTGTAAAGCATTTAGCATACTTTTCCATTTTGTAGCTTCACAGTGTACCTAATACAGAAAACAGCAACTGCTTTTGTTCACCTCACAGCTGTAGGACCACCGGCCAATTGTGAAGGAATGGTAGTAGAAAGAAAAATACATGTACAAGAACATAGACTAAGAGCATTTTTGTGTTCTTTCTCTTAGGTGTCAGTATAGAATTTCTCTGCTTTCCCCGCCCTGAAGAGCCTATTGAACATGTGATGTCGTGCCTGCGGGCCCTGTGCACTCTGCTCGAGACTCCTTGTGCTAAAACACATATTGCAGATGACCAGGTAAACACACAGGGCTTAAATTATAGGGTAAAAAAAGAGAAAATTTTTAAACCACTTTTATGACTATTGTAGAATCTCATTAGTAACATATGAATATATGAGTTACACATTAAGCTATAAAAATAACTACTGTAGTTTTCACTTATTAGAAAATACTAAAAGAAATTCAAGCACCCAAGTGTCCTATAACAAAAAGTGTTTTCCCTTTAAATCACCTCTTGCAGCAATCATATTGTGGTGTAATTCAAGTGATCTGTTTACCATGCACCACCTCACTGCAAATATTTGATAAATACAACACCGGCCTGTGATATTTACTGACTTTAGAAGGTGAAAAGGATCCCCCACAGAACAGATGATTGGGTACCGATGGCTTCAAAGGGCACACGTGTGTATCCTACAAATTCAGCAAAAGAAGGTTGTATTTCTCAGCTGTATTTGGTGAAGCCTTTGAGGAGGGACGTGTCTCTACCAGACTGCTTCAAAGTGTGGACTTCAGAGGATATGAATTGGAGCACAGTGTGTGGGATCACTCAGCCGTCTCACTAACCATAAAGATATTTGAACAAAGAAGTAAAAATTGCTTCTGAACAGTATAAAAATCATATTTTTAAATATGAAATTGTATCCAACGATGGACATGCTTTCTGCTTTTCAACAAACCAGAACAGATAGTTACAAAGCATCAAGCACTTTGATTTAAATGAGAAAAAAAATACATAATTGAAACAGTTGAAATTCTAAATGTGAGAGAAATGAGAAGTTTGTGCTACATGTTTTACAGTCACATTATGTACATAATGTAGTTGTTTACTTTTTCTTTTTGCTGTAGCTGCTGGCTGTGGAGCTCCTGAACGTGCTTCACAGGCTTCTGTTGACTCGGGATCCACCTGCTGTCCAGCTTCAGGTCACTGCTGTTGTCCAGGAGACCATCAGGGCTGCACATGACCATCTACAGCGACAGAAAACAGCAAAAGGTCAGAAACATTATGTTACACTGCATATAAGGTTTGCATGTTGTCTTTAAGCTTCTATATTTAGAGTGAAGTTAACCAAATTGTGTGGTAGTTTAAACAGTCATTACGTTTTTTTTGGTTTAGGCAAAGAGGAAGATGGCGAGAAAGACTCTCAGGCCAGCCTTGGAGAAGGAGGGGACACAGGGGAGCTCGTCCCCGGCAAGTCTCTGGTGTTCGCCGCCATGGAGCTGCTCGTGTTCATCCTGGTCCGCCACTTACCCCAGCTTAATACACGTGTGAAGGAGTCGCCCAGCCATGTGCCACTCAGGCCTCAGCGACTACCTGAAGAAAGTGCCCGCCTGGTGGCAAACGCAGTTTCCATCCTGGCAGAGCTGCCCTCGCTCTGCTCTCCAGCTGGTGAGGCCTGAAGCAAAGTGCAACAACACACAAATACCATGCATAATAAGAAAGGAAAACTCGCACACAGTCAGTTGCTATTTCAGTGTAACATACTCTCTCTTAATGGATGATGTTTTAAACTGCTTCATGCATTTCTGTGATTTTAATCATAAATAGCAAAGGAACATGAGCATCATGGTTTTCAGCCCATTGTTTACATTTTATTTTTGCCTTATTAGGAAGCATGACCATCCTACCTACAGTGCTTTTCCTCGTCACCGGAGTTCTGAAGGAAACTGCAGTAAAGACTCCTGACAACTTGGTGCCAGTGCCTGTGGCAGCTGCCCTCCAGAGCATTAAGACCATCTTCACCTCTCCAATAGCCCGGATGGAGAGCGTGCAGACGCAGTGGACCAGCCTTGTGAGGAGCAGCCTGGCATCTGTACTTGAGTATTCGCAGCCAGGTGAGCGCATCCACACGCATTCATTATTCATTCATTCATCAGACTCTGACTTTTTGTCTTTCTGTGGAGCAATCTACAAAAAAAAAGCACAACATCACTGTTAATCAAAAGCATGTTTGTGTGGGGTTTTTTTTTAGATGAGTCCAGGCCTGACATGGATGAGGTCAGTATGCTGACAGCGATCACACTCTTCCTGCTGTCAGCCAGCAGTGAGCTTGTAGGAGTGACTGTCCTGCAAAAGGGCTGCATGGACCACTTCCGAAATGCCCTCAACTCTAGTGACCCCTGGGTAAGCTCGCATATACACAAACAAAGATGTAACAAAAGAATTTTGAATACCAAACCAAATCATCTGTTTTTACATGTGTACCACACCTCTGAACCTTTCTAGATATTATCTAACAGAAGTGCAGAAAACCCAAATTTCTGAATCAGTACTAGGTTTTTACTTGCCAGCTAGACGGTGGCTGTGGTCTGCTGTGCACTGTACGCACTTCTCTTCTGTTACCAAACCCAAACGTAGCATTTCCACGTGTGAAAAAGGGCAGCTCTGAACAATGCCTGGGCTGGATCCTCCTCCCATTGTTCAGAGTTCATGCGTGAAAACAGCTTCACACTGTTCACATAAGTCTAGCTCAGTTGAGCGAAAGATGTAATTGTTGTTACCACAGGTTCAGGCTCGGTGTTACCAGCTGCTGTTGTCGGTGTTTCAACACTCCAGCCGTGCCCTCTCTACTCCCTACATACACGCTCTGGCTCCACTCATGGTGGAGAAGCTGAAGGCAGTGGAGCGCAGCCGCCCAGGGACGGCTGCTGAGCTGCAGGCTGTGCAGGAGGGAATCAGGGTCCTGGAGAATCTGGTGGGCATGGGTGAAGAGCAAAACCGTAAGTATTCCTCTGCTTAATGGACCAAGTGAAGCAACATTTGGTTCATTTTGTGCCACATTTACTCTGTTAAAGTAGATCTCTTCAGTATTTAGCTGTGCTGCCCTAGATCAGAGTAATAAATGATTAAATGTTGAATTTAATGCTTTTCTAATTTCTAGTCCAACCATTCAAGAAAAAACTTTTTTCAAACGATTTTATGTCAGTTTACTAATAATCTGGCAAATCTCTGCGTAGATAATGACATTACATTGGATTTGTGGCCACAGTTCTGCTTCTCCTTTTTTTAAACTGTCTTCTAATTACTGATTATATATATATTTATGTGTGCTTTATGTGTTCAACAGGGGTGCAGCTGCTCGCTCTCCTTGTACCGACTCTCGTCTCTTACCTTTTGGATGAAAATTCCATCTCCTCTGCACCCCAAGTTTCCAAAGGCCTGCACGAGTTTGCACTTCAGAACTTGATGCGGATCGGCCCCCTCTATCCGGCTGCCTTCAAGATAGTGATTGGAGCGGCACCTGAGCTGAAAACCCGTCTGGAATCTGCTATACGGGCCAACCAGGCCAGCAGCAAAGCCAAAGCTGCAGCCAGGCAAGCTCAGCCAGCAGTGCAAGCTGCACCAACCATTAAACTCAAGACGAGCTTCTTCTGAACACTCCAAAATGCACCGCACACTCTCACCTAATCTTTTCCTCTTTGGATTTCTTTCAACACTGTACCACATGTCATGTCTGTATCAGTTATGCTTTCTAACTGCATTTATTTATTCTACATCTCTTCTTTGTTTTGATGGACGAGTATTCCCCTCAAAGAACGTTTATGTAAATATCTTTGAAAGCCTTTGAATGTTCACTTTAAAAAGCTTGCTATAAATTTTGTAGGAAATTTTAATTGTGTGAATGTATCATTTCCAGACCACACAATTTACATTTTACTTTCTTTTTTTTGTTCCCCCCAAGTCACCAAACCCAGCTCTCTATGGAAGTTTGTTTCTGACACTTTTTTTTTCAGGCAGAGCTAAATTGAAATTTGAAAAAATCCTCTCAAAACTTACTTACGAAGTATGTTTTCAGGTACAAACCATGACTTTTGACTTACAGAGGGCAAAAAATAAATAAATAAATCAGGTGGCAGAAATAAAATTCCAGAAAAAGTCAATATTTGCTCTACAATTTTCCTTGATTTTTTTTTTTTTTTTTTAGGAGGCCTCGGGGTCTCCAGGTTGTTACTGATGAATGTTACTTTAATTTCTTATGTTTTGTGTGTTTTCTCAAATTATGTTGTAAACCTTCCTACTAATTGCTCAAAGGCATAGCTAATAAATTAAAGTTGATCAAACCAGTATCGAGACTAAAATTAGAACAATCTAAATGATGAATGCATTATATTTTTCACTAAGACTCTCCAGTTATCTGCACACCAATCAACAAATAAATAATTATATATATATGTATATATATAAGTACTGGTCATCACATAGTTTTTTGATTTTTTTTTGGTCTGATAAATACCCGTGTTTACTGCCTGCATGTGCTGGTGTTCACCAATGTCATCAATAACTGGCACATTTGTGTAAATGTAATGTTACACTCAATTTTTTTTTCCAAAATATGAATAAACTTATTTTGACCTCATTGCTGTTGGAAGTTTTCACTATACTTAAATGTAATTGGATTAATAAAATAGGAATGCATGATTTATAGCTAAAGTTCTGCTACTGGGTCTGGACGTCCGGGCAATTCGGGTGAGCAAAACGAGCACCACCAGCCAACTCGCTGTAGGCGTGGCGTTTGTGGTGACGTCATTGGATGACAGCTAGCTGTCAGAAAGTGAGTTCATTCCCCCGAGCCGAGGAGACGGAACGCCGTCAATAGGTTTTTTACCCTTCCGCTGATATATAGCACATCGAGTCAGCGAGACAACGGACCAAGCTTTCCACCGAGCCCGGCCATGGATGAACAGGCGGGGCCCGGCGTGTTCTTCAACAATAATAACAACTCTATTTTACCCGGCGGTGGAAAAGGACCTCTGCCCGATGGCGACGCTGGGGAGGCGGCTAGGGCGCAGTACAGTATCCCGGGGATCTTGCACTTCCTGCAGCACGAATGGGCCCGTTTCGAAGTAGAAAGGGCACAATGGGAGGTGGAACGAGCCGAATTACAGGTAAAAAAGCTGCATTTTTTTCTGTACACGACAACATATTAGCGGCATTACCAGGGCTGGCCTTTTCTAGTAACTCACGTTGAGTTTGTGTGTTTGATTGTTCGGGCTAACGGTTAGCTTGCTAGCTGTAGTTCAGAGGCTAAACGAGCTGCAGCGCCCCTCTCAGCCAGCTGCACGACGACTGTTTGCGACCTATTTACTGTGGCGAAAACCACGAAACTTACCCTCTACTTTTATAGTTTGATAAACTCGCTTTAGGCGTTTTTCAATATGATAATATATCAGTTTAAAACCAAGGTAATTGCTAGATTTAATGACAAAATAGTTCATGTGAAACGTAAACTATGGCTACTTGCTATTTCGAGCTAAATCTATTATCACCCTGTGTTTGTTTGAATCGTGCTTTATTCCCAGTCCCAATATAAAAAAAAAAATGCTGTGGAGAGATAACAGCAGGTTTCTTTTATGCTCTGATCTTTCGGGAGCTGCCAGTGCTGACAGACGGCACAGACTACACAAGATAGTACAGTAACTATGTCTTGTTTATGAATCTTATCGTAAGCTAGCTGCCATGTAAAGCCACTCCTGATCCCTGAATTTAAAACACTCCACGGCGTTTCTCTTACAGATCGAACAGGTCTCTCTTGTAAATGAGTCACTGAGTCTCCTGTAAAAAATAAAGATTAAATTAAAAAAATAAATTACAAAATTGTGTGTGGGGATATCTCCATGATTGGCAACCGGATAAATTATTCGCGGATTGTTTTACTTTCCTGCTTTGTTATATTTTATTTTAGGAGCAAAGCAGGTTTTTCGTCCCATGAACTATAATTTTGTTAATCTGCAAACCTGATGCAAGCTGGGATCTTTAGTGGTGAGTTTGCTTAAACGAGGAATTGATGTCTGACAAAGTTCATCTTCTTGAGATTCTCAGTAAGACTAGAATTTGAATTTTCTCACTATAGATGCAGGTGAATAATTAACCCATGCTGACTATACTGGCTTCCAGGAGTAATGGTTATAATACACGAAGCCTTATTGGATTTTTTTTTTTTTTTTGGTCTGTTTAAAATGATTTTGGGCTCTTTCCACCAGACTATTCTTTTTAACTAGGAGTTGAGAGGGCAGCTTATTGTAGATGTGCTCTTGTCACTGTACCTAATGTTTAAAAGATGTGTTTTTCTTTCCAATATTTTGACCTGGCTGTGGGGGGGCAGCTGCTGGATCCCAAACTGAACTTTCTGTGATTTTTGCAGCAGGAAGCTCCATGGATTTACTGACCTCAGCTAACAAAGGGAGGAGAGGGAGACACGGCATTGTTTCTAAACTGGTGACGTACCCTCATCAGTGTAGTAGGGTTTTGAGTCATCAGCGTCATGCGGCACTTTGAGTCTGGCTGAGGCATTGAGCTTCCTGTGTGCTGTCATGAAGCAAGCTTATCAGCGAAGGAGCTGCAACAACTGCGGTGAAGCACAGAGAGGCTGCTGTACGGCTCTTTAGGTGGCTTATTTGTGGCGGCAAAAAGTGCGCGCTCAGTTTGAGTTCTTGTTTTTGTCATACGTAACGCCAGGCTGGTTAATCCTTTGAAAATCATTCGATCTGCACCAGACAATTGGCAACTTTTGGATTTGTCATGTTTGTGCTCTGATCCTTGTGGCACAGGATGTATCTGGTTAAAATAAATCCTATAGTTTGTCTATTGTGACCATTGCTGTTAACCTTAATGTCTTTCAGTGGTAATATTTCACTATATTGGATTATAAACAATGACTAACATATTACAAATCTTCCACATGGAGAGTAACCTTGCTGTGCCCTTGAGGAACACCTGCTTATTCCACAGATATACGTAACTTTTTCCAATAGAGGGGCTTGATGAGTTAACTTTCAGGAAAAGAGGCACAGTGAGGAAGAAAGGATAGCAAGTCATTTAAATGAGCATAAATAGACATGCATGAATAATGAAAGGCTGTTGTGGACCTAGAGCCTTGATGGAAGATACCAAGCAGCATCAACAGTGCATTTGTTTCTTCTCCACCTTATCCGACTGCAACATACCTCTCATAGTGTTCATCATCTCATCTGCACAATGTCTTTCTTTTAGCTGTAGACTCAAATCTTATATGAGATCTTTACAAGTTTTGACAAGGTTGTACTTGTAGCGGTTTCATCACCTCTCAGGATTCCTTGTTCCTTTTTTTTTTTTATTACTGGTGGTGTAGTCAATGAATGGCAGACAGTTGGAGCTGTGTTTTATGTCACTGTTTGGGAGGAAGGCAAACCCAGGACTTGTACTGTAGGAATGTTGTCCAGCCAGCCTGTTAGGTCATGCTCAGAGCCACTCCTCTTTACTGGAGCTGCACAGAAACTGTTCTCCTCTACCCAACCTTTCCTGCTGCTGTACATCATACGTTCATGGTTTGACTACAGCAAAGTAATCATTGGTAAGAAGTGGACTGACTCAGTCAAGGTGATTTGTTGAGCTGGTGGTCATAGGTTACAGCTCTAGTTATTCTTTAGTATGTTATCTTGGCAATAACAGTCGATGACAATAACTCCGAATAATCGTTATTTCATTTCTACTTAATAAATCTTTTTAAATTATGTACAAAAACTCTTGATTGTTACATTGTCCACCTTTCCTATTATCAGAGCCGCTGTAAAAATTCCCAAAGATACTCAAGTTAGAGTTTATAATAGAAATACAGCAAATACATGCATTTTTTTAATTGCTGAGGATGCAACTAACAACCAATGAACCTGCCTAAATGACTGGAAAGAATATCCACCACTTTTTCAGTGTAAATTCTTCAAATGTATAGTGATGGAGCTCAAGCGTCCTGTGCAGAAAACTGTAGCCACTGGAGTGGAAACGGGCGGCACCACGATATGCAAACGAGGACTGAAATGGTAACAAAATGCAGCTAGCTAGCTAAAAATATAATTTTCCACAATGTCAAAGGGTTATTTTAGCAGTGAAATCTAATGTTGCGTACACTAGGAAGCGTTTTGCTAAGGCAGTTGTGAGCATAATGAATTTATCATAGTTTTCTGAGTTATCTCAATACCACAGAATGCTTGTTGTCAACCACAGAAATATGTTAAGATAAAATGTAACTTCTGATAGCCTAAAACTTGAATTTGGATATTATCTAGTAATCTGATACACATATAGATGTAGAGTAGACAGGAAAGTGAGGAGGAATTATGGTCAGGAAACAGCCTAGGATGCTGCAACAAGGACTGGGTCACCTGCTCGACCAGGTGAGCTGTAGCGGCTCCCCCCAGTTTTCCTATTTTTCCTGCTAATCCAGTCCCTACAAGGGTTGGTGTCTAAGTTATAATAGGTTATAAAAACCTGGAAGTGGATGATGCAAACAGATAGAATTAACCAGAAAACAGCTTTACAGTATCCAGCATGAATAGGAGCCATGGATTGTGTCTATCGGTGTAAAGAGTTTATTGATATTATATACCATGGAAAAGAGTTGATTGATTTTTCTGTTTTTTAATTAGTCAGTGGTCTGATAATTACTTTCCAGTTGAACGCTTGAACAGTCACTCAAATTGCCATCGGATCGGTCAGAGTAGCTTTATGTTGGCACTGAAACTAGCGGAGGGGTTTGCCTGTTTTGTTTAGCTGGTTTTTAATTTGAATGATAGAGAAGGGGCCAGTAAACTGAACTGACCTTTGGTTATTTACCAGGATCTTTACATACAATTTTCATATTGTAAGAGCGATCTGTCATTTAGAAAGAGGGGGAAAAATCGTATTCATATTGCTATATTGATTTAGCTCTCATCACCCTGTTGCGCTGATTACTGCTGATCTATTTCAGTTATGATGATTGAATTTGAATCAAAATGACTTCCTGTACAGGCCATCCACTGTGCTCCCTTAGCTCTCCAGTTATGGGGAAATCCCTGCTCCGTGGAGTATCTCCTTGCCAGAAGTATTTGTCAGCAGCCATAATTTGACACCAGGAGAAGGTTGAAGGTGACACAGGGTGTTGGATGGCTTCATGTGGGTGCACACTGAAACGTGGGCTGTCTTCACAGTATAGAAGCATCTCTTGTATTTCTGCACCAAAAGCTTTTACCATGAATAAGATTATTATGCGTCTCGTGCTATTTGATTACTCCACTCCTTGTAGACGGCAGCAGCCTAGATTTACCCTGCCTCCGGTAGATGACTTATCACCGTGATGTTGTGTTTACTTTTACTAATGGCAAAACCTGAGGCATATTTAACTCAATGGTGCAGCAAAAAGAAGGACCGAACTGTGCACAAACATCTACACAAGCATGCCGTGGCATTCAAAAATTCAGAAATGGGAGTCACCGTCATTCCTGAGTCGATACTATGTCCACCCCCAAGCTGAAGCTATTTTTGCCCTCTCAGTGTGCGCCTCTGAGTGGGAAAGTACAAAAAGTACGTGCTTCCATCCAAGAATATGGTAGTATAAGTACT